TGGGGATCTGAATTCTACCTTAGTTTATTATCATTTGGAGGTATCAAGTCACCACCTTGAGCTTCTTCTAGCTAGATCCCTTTTATATTTAAGTTTTGGGCCCATATTGGGCATTTGGTGTTGCATTTCGAGTGATGAACCAAGATCTGAAGTTGCAACTTCAGATCTAGGCTCATCTTGGCTCTTATTATCATAAAGTCTCAGTCTTTATCATGTTGGTGAAGCTCTTTTGCCTAGAACTTCTTCTTTAGCTTGATTTAGGACATTAGCACCTTGCATGCACGTAAAGCTCTTTTGCCTAGAACCTCTTCTTTAGCTTGATTTAGGACATTAGCACCTTGCAAGTCAGTCAAGTGACTCAGTGAGTCGGCTAGGTTTTTCCCAACCTTTGGACACGTATGAAGCCGTCGATTTGTATAGGGATACCCGATGAGTTGACCAAGGCGTTTACTACCACTGACACTAGGAACTCGACAAGTCGCTTATGTGACTCGGCGAGTTGGCGAGTTATGAAAGGAACTCGATGAGTGGTTGGTTGTACTCGACGAGTTGAGGTCAACATGGACTGTTGAATTTAACTTTGACCAAGGGTTGACTATTGGACTTCTGAGGGTATTTTGGTAAATTAGATTTTGATAGCAAAGGGGCATTGGTGAATATAAGTGTTGGAGTTGGAGAAACATCTGGAAGAGTTTGACGCTACCTTCCGAGCTACTTGCAAGGTGAGTTATCCTCACTGTATCAACAGGGTCTAAGGCACCATGGCTGGCCCTTTCTTGGATCGTATACTGGTTTGTGAAACAACCCAAAAATCATGACCAAAAATTTCTTTTTAAAGCATTACTAAACCATAAATATTAAATCATTTCAATCGTACTAAAAGTGTAACGACCCGTTCCCGGTATGTTGATTTATCGGTAATTTTAGTGAGTTTTTCAAGAGGGACTCGGCGAGTTCTAGCCTGACTCGCCGAGTAGGGTCGCGTCTGAGGGCACGCGTGAGTCGGGGACTCGGCGAGTCCATATCCCCGACTCGGCGAGTCCATCTGTCTGGGTGAAACCCTAAAATCCCCGGGTTGCCCACTATTTATACCACCTTATAGCCCCCATTCTCGCCTCCCTCACCCTGAGAACGCAGTGATAGAGCCCCAAACCTCCATTGAAGAGCTTATATGTGTTTTGGTGCCATTTTGTGAAGGTGTGAAGAAGGAGAAGAAGGAAGAAGCAAGGAGAAGTGTTGTAGTGCAAAGATCCAAGGCCAAATCAGAGTTTATTGAGGTATTTTCGGAGTTCCATCTTATTATATGCTTTAAACTTCCATTAGGGCTCTCCTAAGAGCTAGTTGGTGCTTGCTTCAAGCCTTACACTTGCATGAACGTCTTATTAAGTCGATATATCTATGGATCTGAATGTTGGGGTGTTGTAGAGCCCAGATCTACTGTCTTTTTGGAGTTATATTGCATGATAACCATAGATCTACCCATTTTATGCATCTTTTAGCCTTATTTCCCTTATTCATGAGGTTGCGCACGTAAAGTTGGAAACTTTACGTGGTAAAACAGCTTATTGGACTCAGATCTATCAATTGTATGCATTGGATTCAAACAAAATCAAGTAAAAATCAGTTGCATGGCGGCGACTCGGCGAGTCGGAAGAACGACTCGACGAGTCGGGTCGCGAGTCCCGAGTCCTTCAGTTTTATCAGTGTCGAGTGGACGAGGTGAGTCAGGAAGTGGACTCAGCGAGTTGAGAGTAGACTCAGTGATGGAGGGACTCGACGAGTTTGTTCATAAACTCGGCGAGTCCAAGGCAATCTTCTTGGATCAAGAACAACTCGTCGAGTCTGTTCATACGACTCGGCGAGTCGGATGAAGATTGTCTGAGTTCTTGATCAAGAGGGTACTCGTCGAGTCGATGCCAGACTCGACGAGTAGCAGTGAGTAAGAGTGAAAAGTGAGAGTGGGACTCGGCGAGTTGGGTGGCCCAACTCGGCGAGTCAGCCCAAAAGGAGAGTTGACTTTGACCGAGGGTAAAAGAGTCATTTTACCCCAAGCGCAGTGTTTAGTATTTGATTGAGTGTGTTTATGGACTTGTAGCCGAGGAGATTCAGGAGCAGCCGCCGTTAGCTTCCGAGCCACACACTCAGCAGCCAGCTTACGAGGTGAGTTTCCTTCCAGTAGGAACGGGTCTAAGGCACAATGCCGGCCCGTTCAGTTAGCAGTAGTTTCCGGATTTAGGTCCGATGCAGTAGTTAGTATGTTCGATGCCTTCGTGGTTCGAACAGGATTTGTGTGCTATGTTTTATGTGTTAAGTACTATGTGTTCCGGGCCACGGCCCGATGTAGCATGTCGTATATGTGTTATGCTAGTTGATGTGTTATGCGATGCCATTTCAGTCAGACAGTTCCGGACTTCGGTCCGATGCAGTTAGTTCGGACTTCGGTCCGATGCAGGGGACAAGGTCCCAGTCAGTTCCGGACTTCGGTCCGATGCAGTTAGTTCCGGACTTCGGTCCGATGCAGGGGACAAGGTCCCAGTCAGTTCCGGACTTCGGTCCGATGCAGTTTCCGGGCTTCGGCCCGATGCAGTGGGCAAGGCCCAATATGTGTTTATATGTTATTGTATGGTATGTGGTAGTTTGGGGGAGCTCACTAAGCTTCGTGCTTACAGTTTCAGTTTGGTTTCAGGTACTTCCGCAAGCAAAGGGAAGAGCTCGGGGTGACAGCATCGCACACACCACAGCATAGCTTTTATCCTGGGATGTCTTTGATGTTTTGGATTGATGTTGTATGATACAGTTTTCCGCACAATATTTTATTATGTTTTGGGGATACATCGCGTATGTTTTATGTTATGATACTTATATTATGGTTTGATTATATAAAAAACGAAAATTTTTCGTGTTTTTGGGTCGTTTCAAGTTGGTATCAGAGCCCTGGTTTGAGGGATTCGGATACACTTCCGGGTGTATCTGAACTCAAACTAAGGGAAATAAAAGATTTTAGTAAAATAAAAATGTTTTACAAAAAGAATTTTGAAAGCACTTGGAAAGAAAGAATTGTTTTTAACAAGATAGAGGTGTGTGCATGCGGTCAGCCGAGCTCAAGTAAGTACTCCAAATTACCCATACAAGTTATTTGTTCAGTTTCAGTTTCAGTAGAACAGCATGCTAGTATAGGGCTAAGGATCTAGGAGAATGCCTTATGTGCCTGCTTATGTGTTACAGCTTTATGAGTATTGCATGCTAGAATTGAGTAGACAGCAGTAGGATAGCCTGTTTAGGTTATGCCTGATAGTATGAGCTTAGCATCCTATGCTAGTGCAGTTTCTTGTTATAAGAATAGTTTTGCCTGAGTCTATTTCCGTGTCCGAATGCTGCTTGCTTCGTGCTTAGTGGGGTTCTGAGTAGTGGGAGTTAGCCATTAGGTGAACACGTCACACCACATGTGATCAGGTTTGAATAATCCCAGAGTGCTGGAACTGGCCCTATTGCGCAGCTCTTGTTTGAGTCCAACCGTTGTAGGGACGGATCTTTTACTTGAAGGATTATCTGATCCTCATCACATGTGATGGTGTTTAGGTGGTGGCTAACTGGCATTATGAGGAGACCTACAGCAGCTGAGGACCAGTCGCGTTGAGCTTGAAGTTTCCTAGGGCAAGCCTAGGATGAGAGTAGCAGAGAATGGCAGTAGTAGAAGTGACTTGGTGGAGTCAAGGCAGTTCTTAGGAAAGTACGGATAGATGTGGAAGGTAGTAGGGGCCCATACTACTGAAAGCAGAGGATCCGTACTCGAATTAAGGAAGGCCAAGACAAGACCAGGAAGCTAGTAGTAGTATCATGATCCCTTGAGATATTTCAGTGTTCTGATGTTGTTATGATATGTTTCAGAATGGTAGTTTTGCGTCCGAGGCCAGCAGCCGGCAGTTCAGATGCCGGAGGGGGATCAGGATCGGGATCAGGCCCGGAGGCCGGGCAGATGGATGAGCAGACTAGGGAGTTCCTTTCTTCTGAGGTTACCCGCATCATACTAGAGCAGACTCCTGTGATCTTCGGTTCGATCAAGGAGGGTATTTTAGAGCTGATGGATGAGAGATTGAGTACTTTCCGTGCTGAGATGGCGGCCGTGATGGGGTCGCGCACACTTACGTTCAGGGAGTTCAGGGCATGCGGGGCTCCTGACTATCATGGGGCACGGGACCCCATAGCGAGTACCAGGTGGTTGGCGGATGTGGCCAACGCATTCCGCACTAGCAGATGTCCCGAGGGGGACAAGGTCAGATTGGCGTCCTGTCTTCTGAAGGACAGGGCACGAGACTGGTGGGAGGAGGTCGGACATGCATCGGGGATGATGCG